AGAGATAAAATCATTATTTTATATTATAAGAATATTGTTACTGTAACTTCATCAAAATTATTTTCATCATTTTAATTCAATTATTATTTTCTTGAATTTTAAATTATTTTTTATGGTAATAATTGAATTCCTTAAAAAAAATTTATTATTTATAAAAATAATTGAAATTCCGCGATGATTTTTATTATTTATGAAAATAATTAAATGTTTGCACACAATTTTATTAACATTTTTTTTTTAAATAATTGAATTCTTTGCGAATTTTAGAATTAATAATAGTTGGAGTAAAAATAGTTGAAGGGACACAAAACATCTTTTTAAAAATTGATTTCTTATGATACTTGGTGTCTCTCTTGCGTCCTTAAAGTTAAAGAGAATTTTCTAATGTAATTGCAAATTTTCTTAATTTAAAAACAGAAAAATGAGTATATATTCTAAAAAGTTTTAGGCCAAGTATTTTTCCGCGATTCGAGTCTCAGTTTCCATGACGAAACTTTGAATGAGATATTCAATAGCCGGGGAATTCCCAACTCTATTATTATTAAGTGATGAATTACCACTTTACTCTATTGTCCATTCTTCGTCGATTGCAAAAGATCTGAACAAATCATGATTCCCTATTAACATTCTTCAGATAATTTGCATTCGATTTGCTCTCAATACCTGACATGCTTTCGATGATATGAAAACGAATTTGCACGGAAAATTACTTCATTTTCATTGTAATATTTCAATTAACATTTGAACAATCAATTTTATATAAAACAAATTGATTGTATTGTTTCTTTATTACACGAAGTGTGAATTCTAAAAAAGAAACAATTTTTTAAAAATATGGGGAAGATATTTTACTGCGTTTCAAATTTTGAATCTTGATGACTTCAGCTTCGTAGTTAGAGATCCTAAAACCGTCTAGATATGAATTTTCATAAATATCCAACTATTTAAAGAAAATATTTTTTTTAAAATTAGTCTGCCATATTGGATCCGCCATTTTGAATTTCGATAACCTGATTATTAGCGAATCTACTGAAACTGTGAGTAAGAAAGAAATTAGTATGCGACAGGATAGAGTAATCAAGAGGGTGAAATTTAAACCCCCTTTTGAAGATCAATAAACCTTCTGGAACTGATTGGGAAAAGGGTGTACAACGTGGCACGTAGAATATATACACAAATAGCTACAAGATGAAATTCGGCACAAGTTTAGGTGTATCACGGAAAGCTGTCTCTAGAAGGGTTCGTTTCGCTAAATAAACTTTCCTTGATCTATATACCCGGACACTCTGAGATAGAATAAAACGAGAGAGCTGACGTCGTGACGTAAATAGGGTCTAAAATAGTAATGACAGTCTCAATACCAATGAGTCGCAAATAATTATCGATTTTATTAATCGCAATTAATTATTTATCAACTGACCGAAAAAATATTCAACAACAATTAAGATTTCTTATCACAACTGTCAATCATAGATGTTGGGTCTGTGATCACACTGCAAGAACCAATTATCAAATTGTTTATGGTTATTGAGTACTAATTTGTTCCTAAAAATTAATTGGCGTCTGATGGCAAAATTTATTTAAATTTCTCTATTATTAAATTGTTGAAAGCTTCAGATTTTGCTTGACGTTAAGCAGAAAGTTTAAGTTCTTTAAAATTCATACTACATAGTTTTAATTCGATATACTTGGATTAATAGCCTCGAACCCTCCAGGGAGAAGTGTGTGCATAAGAAGAGTGTCCAAACTTCAGCTAACGTCTAACGTGAACGCCCGACGTTTCTCGAAGTTAGAAATTTTAGATAGGGTCAAGTATTTGTTGACCCGGAGCAAATCAGAAACCTATCAATAGACGAAGTTCTGGAGAACTAGTCAGGTATTTATATAAGTTGACTTTCTGACAAGCGCACTGGGGATTGGGTAACAATGGGTCTCAACTTAGGTACCACCTGTCGTTAAGGGAACTCTGGACCGCGCTCAATAATGTAGATTAGATTTGAAATAATAAACAACATCAAAGTGTAGTTGATGACCTCCTAAATTTTTGGGTTATGTACGTGATCTGCAGATATCGACCAATAAAAACTCCACTGATCGGTTTAAATGACTTGAAATAATAATTTTGAATTACATTTTTTTCCATTACCGTTTTAGTTCAGTGACAACCGTAGGTCGCGAATTACCAAGACAGAGACTATCGAACATTCTTAATTATTAAAAATCTAGTTGTATACATAACTTTAAATATTCTGTAAGGGGAACTGTCATCAATGAGAAAATATTTATTTTATTTGTACAAACGCCAAAATTTTTGATGACGCACAAAGTTCTAAACCGATAAGAGAAGATTAGGTAAGATAGAAGAAGAATTGTGAATTCTATTAACAAGAGCAAACTGCTCATTCATTAACAAGAATGTCTTGATGAAAGTTTATGATAAAGATATCACATAGTTTAGATTCCGATATATTATCCGGTACTGATATTTACAGCTTTCTGGTATTTCATATCGATCTTGACAACATACGTCGCGTCGTCATTAACAATGAAGAAGTATAATTGGCGGAAAAGAAATCGAGAACGCTTTACCGATAATATCTCAAGAATCAGAACAATTTGTTGCAAAATCCAATTATGCAGAAAAGTTATTAACGCTGGATCCTGGATTTGATAATTTTAGTTAAATTGTGAGAATCGATCGTGGCGCTTTTGTCTCGAGTTACGAAAAATTAACGCTGTCGAAAGAAGATAATTTTCCGATAAACCAAATCATGGATTAAATAGTTCCTGGCAGAGGATTCGTTCATTCTAAAGCGATACAGTTCAATCTTCACTTTTTATTAAAGATCCAAAGATTATGAAAGATTTTCGTGTCAGTCCAGCATCCGCCACCAAGTTAACTAGTTGTGTACTGTCATCGAGTTTGTTCTTCGACTCCAGGCTAGAAAACCTCTTCAAGTGCCTTCTTCGAGCCTCGTCTTAGTCAAATTCATTCAAGGAGATAATTTCTACTATGTGGCACATTTCTATTTTTCTAAGGACTGCATTACATCGACATCAACGTCAAATTAATAATTCGGTCACTCCTAGGCTAAGGGATGTTTTATCTAATTTACATCGACACCTGTACTCCGAACCTTTCACTTTGACTAACCCGAAAACAATTTGAGGGAAATCTACTCCATTTTCTGTTTCTGCTAGACAACGTCATTTCTTCGACCTCACACTAAAGCTTGTTGGGCCTAGGACTCTAAGAATAATTCTAAAAGTTAAATAACTAATACCTTTAAATTTGGTCTTCATTTAAATTCCAGATTGATTCCACAAAGTTCTAATCTTGTTTCAGTGTCCCTGAAGACATCTGGATCTACTCTTTCTCTCTAATTCTAATTGTAAAGGATTTAAATAAAAACTTTAATAATTTAATTTCAATTTTAACAGGTCCGATTTCTTAAAACCGTTCCCTTCCGGTCTGTGAATAAATCATGTTTGAATCACCGATGCCGGACAATTTAAATATATATAATTTGGGATATGTTTAGTTTTCTTCTGACAGACATAACACTTATTACGAACAATTTAACCATTTGAAGCATGGATGGTGCGGAAATCTGTATTTCAACCTAATCTATTTTATATTTATCGTCGTAAATCCGGTTAAAGATAATTTATTTCTTATACTGAGTAATTTTTTGTTGGGGGGTTAGTGAACAAACCTAGAAGTACAAAAATTAGTATTGTCTGAATAAATAATCCGAAAATTATCGTTGTGGAAAATTAATTGTTCCACAAGGAAGGTGAATTTAGAAGGAGAAAACTTCTCTATCTTTCTTTTGAAAAATAATTGTGACTACAAATTATTTAACAAATTAGAGCCGGACGACGATAAAGTCTGACAGAACAATGGAATATCCTTACCTGGGATAAAATTGAATATTTCAAACTATGAATTAGTTATAATATTACGTGAAATGTTTCATAAAATTTGTATTATTATTAAACTAATAATATTCATTTATAAAAATATTTCCCAAAAATTGTTAATGAGTTTATATATTTTGTGACCAAAACTTGATATGATACATTTGAATTTAGTATGTATGAACTTTTAGAATTTGAATATGTTAGAAAAAAGTACATAATTATGCAACGCAAGAGAAAAATAATTGTCGACTCGTGTGTTTGCAGCTATCTTCTTTGCTGGCTTTTTGTCCCTTGGCTCTTGCTCCAAAATCACACTTGCATCAATAATTCACTTCTCTCCCTTGTTGCATAATATTTATCATTAATAAAGTAATATTCTTTTTATGCAATTAAAATTTTACTCTAAGGGTGCCGAAAAGTGCGATTCTCATTTTTCTGCTGCGAGTGTTTGCAAAATATAATCTATATACAGTGGTGCTAACTTGCCTCAAAGAGGACATGTTGCTATTTACCACAAGTTTGTTTCAAAACTTGTCGTACTAACTTCCTAGAAAAAATATCGTGCTACCTGAATTTTGAATTTTTAAACCTTTCGCCATTAATTAATATTAATAATTAATTGATTTAATAAAATTTCTTGCTGAAAAAAAAGATTTTAATTAAAAATTCAGAAAAATTAATTAACTCTTAATTGTTAGAATGATAAAAGAAAATCTTAATTAGTTTAAATTTCATTCGCATACGTTGAAATTTTATAAGTATTCATTCAGATGAGTTTCGGGAAGTTATTAAAAATAAAATTTCGATGCTTAAAAGAAAAGTTTTTCTATGTTAGTTCAATGTTTGTAACGTATTTATAAGAATATGTAAAACGTTAATTAAAATCATAATTAAAAAACTCGATTCATGGCTTGTCGATTCATATAAAAATTGAGATACATTATTGCAGTAAATTATTAAAGCTGTGAAATAAATAGTGTGAAATTGAGAACTATAGATATAGTTGAATTGAGATATGTGTTTGAGGTGATAGAAAATTGTGCAAGCATAGCTTATTATAGTAATCACTTGAATACCTTGTTTCTTCGATTGCTGGAGTAACCGGTCTGAAAAATCATAAAAATGTCGTCATGTAGTATTTTCGTGATTTTGTTTTCTTTTTTTTTATTTTTTCGCTACAATTTTTTTTTTTTGCATTTCTAGTCATCTGTGATAACTACGAAGCCGTAAACAGTGAAACTACATATATCCTAGAGGAATGAAAAAAAGCCGTGCTTATACAAAACCTGCCAATTCGAGGTTTCGTACCATTTTTTTTTTTTTTATTTTCGTGAATATTTTCAAGCATTTGCATTTTCATTGGTATTTTGTGCCGTCTCAACGTGACAGGCGAGATAATGAGACGAGTGCATATTAAAGTACCACCGTTCCGGCAAAAAAAAAAGAGTAGAATAGAATGGGAGTTCATATTCCGGTGATAATATTTCATTTAAAACTGAATCGACTCGCGATAAGCTGCCTATCGCATTCTAATCTTCACGTCGACAGTAATTTATTGTGAAAAGTATGCTTTAAATTTCCTACTCAGTTTGGGAGATTTCCAATTTTTGCAGCACCTGCATTCAAATTGCAGATCAAAACAATTTTTTTTTATTTGAATTTGACATTAGGATAAAAGTGTGATTAATTAAAAATACGTCATGGCTGTGAAATGGCAAAAGATAACTTTTTAGTTTAAATGGTAAAAATAGATTTAATCAGATCTTCAAGAGGCCTTTTGATGAATATAAAAAATTATTAAGGGTTTGCTACTTATAGGAATAATAATAGGAATATTGGGGGACTTCATTACAACACAACATTTCAAGGAAGTCAGCAAGAAAATAACTTACTAGTTGCTTTTTTTAATTTTTTAAATCCTATCAATTTTTTATAAACAAATTTTTTAACTATGAATGAAATTTTACTTTAAATAAAACACCAAAATCAAAGATTTGTAAAAATTCAACGAATTTAGCTTCTCCAGGGAGAATAGTAAGTTATTTACTAACTTAGTAACATAGTTACTAAATTCAATTGTATTAAAAAATTTTTAAAAATTCTTGTCAAAATTTCAATTCTCTTTATAAATAATAGAATTCTTCTCTGATATTCAATTATTTTACAAAACTTTAATCAAATTCTTGTCAAAATTTCAATTATTTTCAAAAGTTTTCTAAAATGCCATGATTTTCAATATCTACTATTTCAATAAAATTTTCCAAAAGAATTCCATTATTAAAAAAAATTTGAATCAAATTCTACGCAAACATTTAATTATTTTCATAAATAATAAAAATTTTTACAGGAATTCAATTATTTACAAATTTTTTTATAAATTTCTTCGCAATAATTCAATTATTTTCATAAATAAAAACATTTTTACAGGGATTCAATTATTTTTATAAATAATAAAATTCTTTTAGGAATTCAATTATTTTCATAAATAATAAAACTCATTGCAGAATTTCAATTATTTATAATGGAATTTTAATCAAATTCCTCGAAAAATGTAATTATTCTTAAAAATTTTATTAAAATTCGTACAAAGAATTTAATGGTTTAAAAAATTTGTTGATAACATTTCTTATGAGAATTTAATTTCAAGAAACATGAAATTAATAAATTATTTATTTTTTATTTAAATAATTCAATTCTCGTATAATTTACTAATAATAATGGTTTTAATAATGAATTTCAGTTCAAACTTTAGATTAAAATTAAATATTTAAAGCTTTATAACGTGGATTTTAAGAAATAATTAAATTTTGAAAAAGTTTCAAACTAAAAACATTGAAATTCGTATTTTTTCATATTTTTGAAAAAAAGTTCTGTAGAATTAATTCTTTTTAAAAGTTTAATAGGATATTTATTAAAATTTTTCAAGTTTTTATTTTCTAATATATATTTAATTCAAGATTTTCCGAATGATCGACATTTCGTAAAATTCAATTGTAAATAAACAAATTTGAAAATTCTCAAGGAACTTTTGCAAAAATTATTAAAAATAATTGATTTTTGAATTTTATCGAAAAAAATTCAATTATATAAAAAAGATTTTCATAAAATTCTAAATAAACATTAAATATTATTTTCATAAATAATAAATTTTTTTACAAAGATTCAATTATTTTCATGAATAATAAAACTCATCATAGAATTTCAATTATTTTTCATACAATTATAATTAAATAACTTGAAAAAAGTTATTATGTTCATGCAAGTTTTAATAAAATTCGACAAAAGAATTCAATTATTTAAAAATTTGTTGATGAAATTCTTTATGAGAATTCAATTTTGAGATAAATTATTTATTTTTGTATTAAAATAATTCAATTAGCGTAGAATTTTCTAACAAAAATGGATTTAAAAATGAATTTCAGTTAAAATTTTAGATAATAATTGAACATTAAAAGCATTATAGCTTGAACTTTTATAAATAATTGAATTTTAAAAAGGTTTCAAATTAAAATATTTATAAAATAAAATATTTATAAAAATTTGAATTTTTCACACTTTTAACTAACAATTCGGTAGAATTAATTTTTTTTAAGAAGTTTAATTGAATTTTTTTTAAATTATAAGTTTTTATTTTTTAATATATATTTAATTGAAGAATTTCCGAATAATTGAAATTTTGTAAAATTGAATTGTAAACGAATGAATTTGAAAATTCTCATAAAAATTATCGCAGCGTTTCAATTATTTTTCATGCAATTATAATTGAATTCCTTGAAAAAAGTAATTATGTTCATACATGTTTTAATAAAATTCGACATAAGAATGCAATTTTTTAAAAATTTGTTACTAAAATTCTTGATGAGAATTGAATTTTGAGAAATATTCAATTATTCAATAAATTATTTACTTTTGCATTTAAATAATTAAATTCTTGTAGATTTTTCTAATAAAAATTGACTTTCATTTCATAAAAATGAATTTCAGTTAAAATTTTAGATTATAATTGAATATTGAAAGCAATATAGCGTAAATTTTTAGAAATAATTGAATTTTGAAATTTATTTTTATAAAAAAGTTTAATTGAATTTTCTTTTATATTATTTGAAGTTTTTATTTTCTAAAATGCATTTAATTAAAGAATTTAGTAGTAATTGAAATTTCGTGAAATTGAATATTGTAAACAAATGGATTTGAAAATTGCCAAAGAACTTTTTCGAAAATTATTAAAAATAATTGATATAAAGTAAAATTGTAGTTAAAAATTTTTGAAAATAATAATTGAATTGAAATAATGAAAATAATTTTGAAGAAGTATAATATTCTTATAATATAAAATAATTATTTTATTACTTGGTCATCTTTAATTATTATAAAACATGAAGAAATCGATGGATTCGAGTCGAAGACTCGGAGTTATCGATATCTTTATGTTTTATAGTTATAAAAAAATTTAATTTCATTAATTGTAAAAAAAACACCAAAATTGATTATTTTAGTCTTTTTTGGTGTTAATTTAATCTGCAACACTTTTTAATACCTCACGATTTACTGTGACGTTAATTAGATGAAGGGAAGTGAAAGGAATATTGCACTTGCCAAAACTAAAAGAACAAAAGAAAGATTAAATAAATTTTTCTAAAGGGCAAGAAGAAAATATTTCTATAAGGTGAAGACATAAAATTTTTAAAAATGAGTCTGCAATCGAAATACAAAACTGGGTTACAGTAATATCAAAATCAATATTTCTTATTTTTATAGACGTAATGTAACATTTTCCATTCGAAATTGAATAGCTCTCAATGGTAAGTAAAATATTTTTTATAATTTGATTTCAATAACGAAAATTTGTTCGCTTGACCTATACCAAAAATTCTAAAGAATTGTATAACTTGATATATTGTAAAAAAAGAAACAATTTTTATTGAAAATTTCTAACGAGCACTAAAATTTGAATTGCGAAAATATAATCATTTATTATTTAATAAAATATTTGTCCTCTATTTTTTCATTCACCTTTATAATTATTCGTCTTGATTGATATGACACAAAGAAGTGAGAATGTGCAATTCAGTAAAGAGTATTTAATTTGCAGAAAATTTTTTTCATCACATTTGTCCTGCACGTTAATTGAGAGCAATTTTTCCTTGTGAAAAGTACTTTATCTCTTTGACACAATGTTTTTTATTCAATTAGAATGTAATTATTTTACTGCCTTCTCTCTTTTTCGTTCCCATAAAATATTACTCGAATTATAATGAAAATAAAAAAAAAAGAATGATTCCACATTGTGTACGTAAATTCATTTACAGAATAAGAGATAAAGAAAATGTTTCTACAAACGTATGAAAAAAGAAATGTTTTTACAACAGTACAAAAAAACAGAAGAACTGTAAATTTTATTTGGAAAAATGTAAAAACAAGAAACAGTACGATGTTCGAAAAATAGTAAAAGTAAACAAAAAAGAATTTAAACTTTAAATTATTGCCACTTTTAGTTAAATGATTATTACATTTAAAAGCATTGCATTTTTTATTTGACCTTTCTTCTACTAAATTCACATAACTCTCTTTGGTACACTTCAGAATAGAGGTTATAACTTTTCGTCTATGTGTGTGATGGAAAAGTATTTTCATAAAAGTTTGGCAATAAAACTACGGTTCAACTAAGGTTCTTGACTATGAAACAAGTTGATTTTTAACATTAAGAGACCTAGCACATTTTCCTGGGGAAAAGTTTTTACTTGTACTCCTCAGTACCTAGAAAATATTCCTGTTATCTCCTTCATATAAAACATATACTTTGTACTTTCTATATCGAAAAATCTAAAATTCTTTTCAACTATATATGGGCGATTCTCCCGGAATACACATTTTACATGTTCACAAGAGTTTCTTAATAACTATAATAATGTTTCAAAAGTTAGCTATTTTATATTCCACTAAGTTATTTACATATATATGTTAAAATTTCTTTAGAATATAAATTAATTTTGGAATTATTTTACGAATATTTTTAATCTCAATTTTTATGCAGGACAGTGATTGAAAATAGTTTTTCTTCCATGGAAATCAAAAACAATGATATTATGACTTTTTTTTTACTTTT